GCCAAAACTGAACTCATCATACCAGAAAAGAGAAACCGCAGAATTGGTAAGGTCTGTGAAAATGGAAAAATTTACACATCAGTAGCATCAGCAACAACAACAAATAAGTATGTACAAAAGTATAGCGGTAGCAGATCTATGCACTCTCTATGGTACTAAATGACAGATAAAGTGCTGCATTGAAGTTTCTTGAATTTGTCAAAAAAAACAAAAAAACAACAACCATAAAAACCAATACATTAAATAGTAAATAAAGAAACTTTGATTTAAGAGCTTAATATTGTAAACAGCAAATAAATATATAAAGAAATAAAAGTTTACTGCAGACAATATTTCATACCCTCAGTGAAATCACACAGCAAATGCTAGAAAACTGCCAGTGATAATGATGGTGTTCTGTACACGGCTGCACCATTACAGAAACTTTGCAAACTATATTTTAACAAAAATTACACTCACAACGCAACACCTGAGGACAGGATTGTGACTTTTATACTGAGCAATGTTCTTCACAACAGACTGCAGCTTTACAAAACTTACAAACCATACACTCCATCTTTTCATTTCATTTCTTGTATTTGATTTAAAGCTGCAGAAGTAAAGTTTCATATCATAAATAATCAAGTTAACTGTATTTGCCACGTAAACATTGGCATGGCATACTGGTTTCTTCATTGCCCAGTGGCCTCTCTATTGATTGTGTAATTTTCTATTTTAATCTTCAACTTCTTCTTTGATGGTTTTCAAAGGAAAAATAACTTTCTGTATTCTGTGGCATTAGTGGCAGCACTCCTCTGCAGGATAAAAGGAGTTGGCTGTGTTACTTAAATCTCCTGCAGAAATACATACAATATAAACACTGCAGAATTAAAATCAGGTGCAGTTTGTTTTTGCAGTAGTGGTGGAGATTACCATAGAAGCTTTTCACTGCATCATGGTAAAAGAAGAAGTTATTTGCATTGATAAAATGTTGGAGGCTTGCAGAAAGTAGCTCACTGTGGCTGTTTGTTCTTTTTTGTCCCTGCAATACAAAAAACAAAACAAAACACCAATTCCAAATAAATTGGGACAATATGTAAATGTAAATTTATCCAAAAATATATAATATAGAAAATGTATGAAATGCTTATATTGAGAAAATGTGTACTTTTATTTCATTTTAACAACGTGCCTAAAAAAGGTTGGGACAGGGCCATTTTTACCGCTCAGTACCGTCCCCTCTTCTTTGAAGAGGCGTTACTTTCAGATAACTTCACATTTCTATTTGTCTGATCACAGAACAGTTCCACTTCCCCTCAGTCCATTATAAATGAGCACTGGCCCAGAGAAGATGATGATGTTTTTGGGTCATGCTCACATATGACTTTCTTCTTTGCAATGATAACCTACATTTCTACAGACAACAACTTCTAGAAATGTTGTGTGAGAATCATCCTTGTTTTTAATGCAGTGCTGCCTGAGAGTCTGAAGATCATAGACATGGGTCAATCCTGATCATCAGCTTTGTTGTTTTGTACAGAGTTTTCTTCAGATTGTCTGAATCTTTTGATATTATATAGACCACATAATGCAAAGTCTTCATAATTCAACATTGAGGAAGAATTTTCTGTAATTGCTCCAAAATTCATTAAACAATTTGTTGCAGACTGGAGACACAGCACATGTCTGCTTTTGGGTCGTAAATAATGCCAAACATGACCATATTCTTTTGTAATTTTGAGATTTGAGTCTGTGTGGAGGGTGTTGTGTTTTATGCACCGTTTCTAAAAACATTTGTTTTATATAATAATCTAATAGTTATGAATCCATGGGTTGTTTGCTAAAATATCTGGAGGTTATTCAATTCAGTTCAATTCAATTTTATTTATATAGCGCCAAATCACAACAGCAGTCACCTCAAGGCACTTTATATTGTAAGGTAGATCGTACAATAATACATGCAGAGAAAAAACACAACAATGACCCCCTATGAGCGAGCACTATGGTGACAGTGGGAAGGAAAAACTCCCTTTTAA